TTCATCAGTATCAAATCACAGTTGAGACAGGGTGAAAGAGAAGGGAAAGCACTGACTTCACAATCAAGTAGATCTAGGTTAAAATTCTGACTTAATGTCATCTCTGTCCTCGCAGGCATCCAAGTCTAAAACACGGCCATAATCCTTGATTCTTTCCTTTTCCTCACTGTGATACCCCCCATTTCCTTTCTCTTTCTTCTCCTTGTGGTATTACCATACGGGTATATTACATCTTTTGTAGTTGTCGCACAGCCCTTGGATACTCTCTTCTGTCTTTTTTGTTTGTTTGTTTGTTTGTTCTGTTTTCTTTTTTCAGCCTTTGTTTTCTTTGCTTTTCAGTTTGGGAGATTTCTTTTGATATATGCTCAAGTGCAGATATTCTTTCCTCAGCCATGTCCAGTCTATTAATAAGCTTATCAAAGTCATTCTTCATTTCTGTTACAGTGTTTTTGGTCTCTAGCATTTCTTTTTGGTCCTTAGAATTTCCAACTTTGCTTACATTGTCCCGTTGTTCTCGCATGCTGTCTACCCATTAAGAGTCCTTAGCATGTTTACTAAGTTGTTTTAAATTCTTGTCCTGATCATTTCAACATCCTTGTTACATCTGGTTCTGATAATTGCTCTGTCTTTTTCAAATAGTGTTATTTTGCCTGTTTTTTTATAATGCCTTATATATTTTTTTCCCAATAGCTGGACATGATGTACCAGGTAAAAATGAACCATTATAAATAGGCCTTTAGTAATGTGATGATAAGGTACTGGGGGTAGGAAAAGCATTTTACAGTCCTGAGATTAGGTCTCAGTCTTTTAGGGAGCCTGGGACTCTGCACTGTAAACTCACAAGTGTTTCTCAGTTTTTTTCTCCCCTCTTAGGTGGAACAAGTAGTCTGGTATTGGGTATTTCCCTTCTCTGATGTGGAAGGCTAGCACTGGTTATTTCCCTACCCCCAGATAAGTTAGGCTCTACTAGCAGGTTAGGCTCTGTTAACCAGTTTCTCTTGAGGGCAAGCTTTGTTAAAAACAGAGTGCTCTAGCATATTTCAAAATAGTTCCTTTGACTCTTTCTTTGAAAGAAACACAAGGGAATTTTTCAACAACATTTACTGTCAGAACCGGAGGTAAATCTCATGATTGTTGCTACCTGAAGTTTTTAAGTCTCACCCTTGTCTACAATGAGCCTCCATCAATTTGTCAATTACAGTTCAGGCTGTCCTATTCTAGCACTGATTCCCACACCTGTTACCCCTCCCAAGTCTCTTCAGTAAGTTGTGACTCCCTGCATTCACCTCTATCTCTTTAGTCTTGGCAGTAGTGGTTTGTCCTGTGTGCTCATCTCTCTTATGGATCTAGTGGTTTGTCCTGTGTGCTCACCTCTCTTATGGATCTAGTTGTTGATTTTTCAGTTTGTTCAGTTTTTACTGAACGAACTGGCAACTTTCAAGCTTATTAGGACAGAGTTGTTAGGACAAAGTGGGAACTTCCAAGCTTCTTACAAGTGAAACTGGAAACTGAAGTCTAATCCCCTCATTTTTGATCATGCCCCAATTCCTGTAATATTTATGGCCCCACCTTTTCTCCCATAAAAGCCCGCCATCACCAGCACAATGCCTAAGTCCAACACTGCACTTGCCATATTACCCTGAAATTGTCTATCTCTCTGAATATAGAAGGCATGTGTTTTATATAGTCTATTGGTGCTGAGCCTGGCATCCATTTCCACCCACTTCATGCCCCACCCAATAGGGCAGAGATAAAAGACAAAAACATATGAATCTTACAGCTGGGCTTCTGAATAGGAGACTTCTCTCAATGAGGTGCACTTGAGCAAGATATATAGGACTAAGAGAGGCAGCAGTCCCCTTCCGGATGTAGTGACAGCTGCTAAGCAAGTTCTACAAGGGCAATTGTTTGCATCAGTGTCTGGACCACACCTTCCACTTTCTAGGTGCCACTTTGGAGGGTGAGAGGCTGCAGGGACAGCAGCAGTGCAGAGGGAAAGACAGTAGTTTCTTGACCTCTGGATCACATCTGCAGGGTTGTGACCTCAAAGCCAGGAGAGCAGTTCCATCTCCTAATTTTCATTGTCCCAGCTCTTCCAATGAGGTTTTAAGTACTCTTTCTGTACTAAATCTGTTTTTCCTTAAATTATCCAGAGAGATCTCTGTTTTGTGCACTGAACTCTGAGCCAGACTGTGCCTGATTCATCTTTATATTTCCAGTATTTCAAAATGTGTGTGTATGTGTGTGTGTTTGTGAGTATCCCAGAAAGTAACTAGATGAATATTTATTGAATGGAATAAATTCTGATGTTT